TGAGTCTTTGTCTGGTCCTCTGCCTTCTTTCTCTGGCCCTCTCCTGGTCTGTGTCTTCTTCTGTTCCACACTGCCTTCCTCTTGGGCTCTACACCTCTTCTCTATCTCCTTTCCTGTGTCTGTATGTCTGTCCCCCTCTGCCATCCCCCTCTGTGTGTCTGCCTCACCCACGCCTCCTCACTCGTTAGTGAGCAGGCTGCTTGAGGCCGCCTGACTGTGGGGGTGACAGGTGGATTGGATTGTCACCCCCTCCCCCAGCTCCTGCTGCTTATTTCATGCCCTGCAGCCCAGCCACAGGGAAGGGGCGGAAGGAGGGATGACAGCTGTCTCCAGCGCCTCCTGCCTTCCCCTCCAGTCCACAGCCTCCAGCCCTGAGCAGCCTGGGAGGGAGAGATGAAGGGCCTGCTTAACGAGAGCACCCTCTCTTAACTATGTGGAAGAGCAGGATGGAAGCCCATTGCTCTGTGACAGGAGGCTGTACACTGAGCCTCTCTGGGCTTCTGCTCCATTTTGACCTGCACTGATGTGGGAGCTTTGGAAATAGGTGCCTTCTTGCTCCTCTGAGTCTCTGGGCCACTGGGATAGAGGGCATATGTGGGTGGAAAGGTATGTGGGAGAAGGAGAGGTGGACACTCCCCTGACAGTAGCAGGAGAGAAGGAATGTAAGTTACCCATCAGAAAGGACTTCTGCAGCTCCCCAGGAAGGGCAGACATGCTCAGCCCTGCTGCAACTGCAGCTCCAGGGAGGCTGCCCTGGCCGATCCCCCACCTCACCTCCCCCAGCTGGCCCTAGGCCACCCTCACACAGGAACTGAGATAGCATCATTCTGAAACCCAAGAATGGTTTGAATATTGCTCAGGTACCAAGAGGTGTTACACTGGGGGGAGGCCAGGACCGGTTTCCCCCATACCCCCTCCAAACCAAGACCCTTTTTAGTGCACATGTGCTTATTGTCTGTATCTAATTTACATATAAATACAACTAAAAGATTCCCATTGGGTTAGTAGGTGAGCTTGAAAAAATAGCTGTCTTTGCTTCCTTCTGGAGTCCCTGGGTGGTACAAGTGGCTAGACCATTTAGCTGCTGACCAAAAAGGTTGGAGGTTCAGAGGTACCTTGGAAGAAAGGCCTGATGATCTATAGAGCAGAGTTCTACTTGACTCCCATGGGGTCATCATGATTTGGAGTTGACTTGACAGCAACTGTTTTTTTTATTGGTTTAGGGTCCTTCTGAATCTCCCAGTCTCTGGTCCCCTCAGCCCCTCCTCCTTGGCCTGCATGAGCCTCCTGCCCTACATCCTCCCTGTTCTCCATTTTTGGAGGTTTCTCTGCAGCCACCCATCTCCAACAGAGATGAGTCTATGCCTGCCTCCCTGGGCCTAGCCCAGCTCCCCTCCTTCCCTCTTTACTCCTTTCTCCATCAGGGAAGGCCTTACTTCTGCCTGCCTCCTTACAGCCCCCAGGACGTCCACCCTGCCCAACCCTGCCCTGCCAGCCTTGGCTAGGAGTGAGTGGGTGAATCACAATCTGCTATAGCCTTTGAAGGGGAGCTTTTGGTGACACAGGTGCTGCCAGCCCAGGGAGTCACAACTGTGGCCTGAGGTCAAGATTGGGTGGATCCTGGGGCAACAAGAAGGAAGGCTACCTTGCCCAACCCCCTGTTTCCATGGCAGCCCGAAGTCCTCCCAACCCCTGGTTCCAGATACTAGACATAGTGAAGGAAAGAGGGTTAGAAGAGAAGCACCCAAGGACCAGGTTATCTGGGAAGGCTTCCTAGAGGAGGAGCAGTCTGTGAAGGAAAAGAGGAATGGGACCAGGCCAGGCTGAGGAGGAAAAGGGAGTCTCACATCTGGAGAACAGATGCCCAGGCCTCTGGTTCCTGGCATTTGGTTAGGTAATTAGGGAAAGGGCTAATTAAGGAGGTCCAGGTGTTCATTAAAGTCTCTTTAATTGGGTAGGAGGGAAGCTTGGACAGGACAGGCCTCTATACCTTGGAAGGGGTCAGTTTGGGGTCCTTTGTGCCAACTCAACTTCCAGCCACCCTTTCTTTCACAGACAAGGTTGAGTTCATGTTCCTGCCCCAGACCTTGCAACAATGTGAAATGGATAGCAGAAGGGAAAAGGTGTTATTTTAACAGATGAGCCTGCTTTGCAGGAGAGCTCTTGGTTAATAGGAAGAAGGACTGCTCAAGGCAGGGGCGTCTCCTCTGGCAGTCTTGGCACTGAAGTGGGAACAGCAGTGGGGAAGGGGTTCTGGGGAAGCATGAGATTATGAAAAGTGCTTTGGGCTGCCTTGACAGGGAGTGAAGATAGATGGAGCCTGGTCTCTTTAACCCTGACTTTCCTCTTGCACAGGATGCTCAGTGGGTCTCTGTGGCATCCCTGCCTTCTCAGCCCTGATCCCTTTTGCATCCCAGCTCCCCCAGCATGAGGCGGGGGTGTGGGGGGGCGGTGTAGGAGATCAGCCAGGGAGCTGGTTGCCAGGAGACAGTTGCCTGAGCAACCCCATCCTCTCCATCTCCATGTGCTCAGGGCTGCTCCTTAGAAGACTTTAGAGCCTCACCTTCTGCACCAGCCAGCCCAAGAGGGAGGAGGGTTGAGGACTGGGTTGGCAGAGGTGGTTGGAGGGTGGATGGTATCTAAACAAACTAACTTCAGGGGCATCTAGGAGAGGAAGAGTTCTATCTCCACAGGAGCTAGAGTGAGAGGGAGCTGATACTGCAGCAAGATTGATGGAGGTTAGACTAACAGAACTTTCCATAGGATCACAACAATAAAACTGTTTCCTGAGCTCTTCTTTATGGGAGATAAGAGTAGTGAAAAAGTCACCTATGTTCCTGCCCTCATGAAACTTCATTCTCCTAGGGGAGCCAGGCATTAAACAGAAGCACAGAATTGTAATTATTTATAGTTGTGATAAATGCTAGAAAGAAAAGAGCAAATAATTGGGAGAACCAAAGACATGAGGTTAGACTGCAGGAGTGACTTCCCTGAGGGTCATGAGAGCAAAGAGAGGACTTTCCCCATATTTGGAGGAAGAGACATTATTGACCATAAGCTTGATAGAGGTTAGATCTTAGCAAGAATTTGCTTTTGAACTAAGGACTGAGAGAGACAGTAAGAGGGAGGGAAGGTAGGTGCTATAAGCCAGAGAGTGTAGTAGTTACTGCATTTACCACTCTAGATTGGGGTTTACAAGGCCAGGCCAGAGAATCTTGTTTAAAAAGCCAACTTAGTCACCTCCCTTGCCCCCTGTGTGCTCCCTCTTTTACTACCAGGCCCATAACACTGTAGCTGTAGAAAATACAGCATTTGGATTGCACTGGAAGCAAGACAGCAGAAATCCTCAGAGGGAGCCTTTGTAGTGGGGTTTGCCAGAGATTGGATTCACAGGCAAGAAACAATGTGGCTGGAGCTTGTCTGGGCCCAGGTGTCTGGTGGACAGCTAGGACTGGCTGGACTTGTGTTGGTGCTGTCCCAGGGTGTGTGTGAGGGCAGATGGTTAGGGGCCCGTGGAGTACCTTGGGAACAAGGAAAAGAGGAAGAAGGTGCTGGGGTGCCTCTCTGGGGAGAAAAGTGAGAGGGATGAAGATTCGAATGTGGAAGAAAAACCCCTTCTAGGAAGGAGTGAGCTGCCGTGTTTTTTGTGGACATCTACATAGAGCAAAAGCTCTCTTTCCAGCTGGGCTGGGGAAAGCCTAAGGGATGGTCCTGGCAAAAGGAAAGTGTGTGTGTTTAGGAAGTATTTCTGGCTCTTCCAAGTCCACAGATTCCCTGTCTTTCCCTTCCCTTCCATGGCCAAGAGGCCAAGGTCAGACCTTTGCATCTGCTGTGGTACCTTGGTGGCCACGTTGATTGAAGCTGGAAAGGCTCCGGGGAAACTCAGCAGCAGCCGTTAGGAATGGGGGGGGGGTGTTTCCCTTGTCTGTCATCAAACATTCCAGTGACACCTCTGTCCATGTTGTTGGTGGTATTGGGAAGATCAGACAGAGGTTAGAGCCTACTTCTTGGATTCTGCAGCAGGATTTCTGGGCAGGGTCTCTGTGGAGGGGTACCCAACCAGAATGGCTTCAGAAGTCATGGGCCCCATGCTCGCTGCCCACCTCTAGCATCTCCCAGAAAGCTCCATCTGGTGCAAGGACTCCTGAAATCTCAGGACTAGAGGAGCCCTGAGGGTTTCTCTGGTGCCTCCATCCCACCCTGGATCTCTCCAACCCCAGAGGAGTGTTCACCTAGCCTGTGTGGGCACTGCCTGTGCTTGGGATCATGCAGCCTTTTCTGGCTCAGGCTGAGCTGCCATCACCATGCCCCTTCTCTTCCAGTGGTACCTCCTGGAGTTGTGTGTGCAGGGGCTCTTTTTCCCATCTTGACTCTGGAATTATAGCTGTTCACCCAGTGGCTATAGGTATGCTAAGATGGGGTCCCTCCTCTTGGTGCCTGTGTCTCCCTGGCTGCCAGCATCCTCCTCAGTGTGTGTCTGTCAGCCCTATGCATTGTGTACTTCAAAATGAATAAGGTTGGGAAGCACTACTCTTAGGCTGGGCTTGGAGTCTAGACTTGGGGTTACTAATTTGGCAGGTGTTCACTCAACACATTCTCTGCACCAGGCTCCAGAATGGGGAACACCATTCTAGGCCAGAGGGTCAGCTGGTGAGTCCAGGTGTCTCCATACCAGTCTGGGTCTGGGGAGAAGATGGAGGGTAGGTCTGTAAGACCCAGACCCTTAGAGAGCTCTATGCACTCTGGCCTAGAACTTGAGAAGCAGTAGTATGGAAAGAGCCTGGACCAGACTCCTGAGCCCAGAGTGCAAGCATTAGCCTGTGCCTGGCTGTGGCAGGCCGTCATCTCAGATAGCTGCCATTTCCTCATTTGGAGAATGGGTTTCAAATGCTGCCAGCCCCTCACATGGATGCTGCGAGGCTGGCTAATGTGCACTGGGAGCAGCAGGGCTGGGGGTTGCATGGGCTGACAGACCTCTTGTGACCCTCCCTTCCTAGGAGGCTGTACAGAAGGTGTCCTATAGACCATGAACTGAGCACTGGTCCCAGACCGTTCATGAACACAGTGTAAGGTGTGCCAAGACCCATCACCCAGCGAGCCCCTCCCCTCCCTAGCACTGAAGATCCTTGGAGAAGATGGGGAGGAAAAAGATTCAGATCCAACGAATCACTGATGAGCGGAACCGACAGGTGAGGGGGTTATGGGGTCACACAGAGTGGGTGAGGGCAGGGAGCTGGTTTCTGCCTTCGTTCTTTTTAGGCACCCCAAGAGGGCTTCCTGGAAGAAGGGGGCGCTAGAAGCTATTATGGAAGGGGAGGGGCTGATAGGGGAAAAGAGGACCCCTTACATTTTTGCAGCTCTTGGAACCCTGTGTCCCAGGACTCCTAGATGGTCCTTTGGACCCACCTGGGAGCCATGTGTGAGTCTTAGGCCGTACCTGGGCACCTCCCCCTTTTCCAAGATGAATCCTTCCCCTCTTCTCCCCAAAGGATACCTTCCTGGGCTCCTCCCATGACCTCTGCCCAGCTCCCAGCACAGAAGTGTGGATTTCTTTTCATCTAAATCCCCTCCCTTCAGTGAGTTGACTCTGAGCTATGTCTTGGCCATGTGTTAATAGAGGGGTGCTGGCCCATTCTCTCCCCAGACCAGAGGCTCCTGAGGGCAGGGGCTGTGTCACCCTGAGAGTGGGGGCTCCTGAGGGCAGGGGCTATATTCTGTTGCCTGTAGGCTGGGACTCCTGGGCAGGCCTTGACTGAGCCAGACCTGGCCGCCCACCTGCCCGCCTGCAGGTGACATTCACCAAGCGGAAGTTTGGGTTGATGAAGAAGGCATACGAGCTGAGCGTGCTGTGCGACTGCGAGATTGCACTTATCATCTTCAACCACTCCAACAAGCTGTTCCAGTATGCCAGCACTGACATGGACAAGGTGCTGCTCAAGTACACGGAGTACAATGAACCTCACGAGAGCCGCACCAATGCCGACATCATTGAGGTGGGCCTCCACACACATGCTCTACCCTCCTGCTGCAACCATACATACAAGGCCCACATGACATGTACACCGAGACTGCCTGTGCATGCATATGTACATACCTGCTCCTCCGAACCCTTTACCTGAATGCACATACACACAAACCCGCATCCTCTTATATAAACGCAGGGCCCGAGGAGAAAGGAGAGGCAGCATAAGTGAACAGGCCAGTGCCAGGGCCTCCTGGCGGTCATGTGGGGTGACCACACCAGGTCGTCACTACCCCTAGCTGTCTCTGCAAGTCTCTGTGTCCATCAGGCATGACATAACATCTCTCTGCTCTGTCTTCTCTCATGTTTTATTTCTGTCTTTGTCTCTTTGTCCCTTCTCCATTTTTTGGTTTGCTCTGACTCCCTTTCTTTCTCTCCTTCTTTGTTTCCATCTCCTACTCTCTGTGGGTCCTTGTGGCTCTATTTTTTGTTTGAAAGAGGGCTGACATTGTGAGCTGTTGAAGGACACAGGCTTTGGAATCTAGCTCTGGTCTTTACTGGCTGTGGGCAAGTGGTTTAGCCTTCTTGAGTCTTGGTGTCCACCTCCACATATAGGGCCAATGTCTTCTTTGAAAGGTTTTATGTGAATTGAATGAGGCAGCCCAGTTTCTGCTTCTCACACTGAGATATGCCACTTTTGTGCCAATGAAGAGGCTTCCCAGGAAGCCACTAGCCCATCTTCCTGGAGTGAGAATTTAACTCAAAGATTTAGAGGAAATCAGGGAAAACGGATTTTCTCTAGACTAGAATAAAAGATTTATTTTAAAAACAAAGCATGTGATCTGTAGATATTTTGAGTATAGGAGAGGGTAGCGACAGCCTTGGGGTCTACTCCAGACTTACTGAGTATACCTCTGCATTGTTCCGATCACTGCAGTGGGTGTGTGTGAGATGCTTGAACATGAGGGCAAGGGCAGTGTACAGGGGTAGCCCACAGGAACTCAGTATTAATGCTTGTTCCCTCCTTGCCTTTCTACGTCTTATTCTCTGCCTCTGTCTCCATCTCTCTCTCTCCCTGTTGCCACCAGTGTGTCCCCAGAGACTCCTTGCTGCCAGGGTCAACCCCTCTTCTCCTAAGCTGAGATTGGGGATTGAGATGGGTAGAGCCAGCCCTGACTGCCTTCCCCTGGGGAGCCCTCAAGTGCCTTCTGACCAGCATTCACCAAAGGGTGGTCAGCCCCTCAGCCTCTCCCCCATGGAGCCCCTTCCCCACCTGACACCTTAGAGACACATTGTCTCCCTGCCAACTGCATCCAGTGGGTTAGGCTCACCTCACAGGTGACCTGGCCATGTTGATGCCTCCTCCACCAACCAGATCTTCATACACTGCCCAAAGAGGCTTTGATAATGGGGATGGGAAGGTAACACTGAGGAAGGGGGCTGGGGAGGTGCTGGGCACACTGAGGAAGGAGGTTGTTGGAAGAGAGTATGGGGGAGGGTCTTAGGAAAGCATTAGAAGGACCTCACGGGAAGCCGGTGTGGGAGGGACTCTCACCCCACTGACAGCAGTGCGGTTACAGACCCTGAGGAAGAAGGGCTTCAACGGCTGCGACAGCCCGGAGCCCGACGGGGAGGACTCGCTGGAGCAGAGCCCCCTGCTGGAGGACAAGTATCGGCGCGCCAGCGAGGAGCTCGACGGGCTCTTCCGGCGCTATGGGGTGAGCCCCACTCACTCTCTCTCTGTTGGCCCCCCCTTCCGGCCCCTCCCCCCAGGCGCTGCACAAGAAGCACAGGGAATGTGAGAGCCCTGAGGTGGACGAGGTGTTTGCCCTGACCCCCCAGACGGAGGAGAAATATAAAAAGATAGACGAGGAGTTTGATAAAATGATGCAGAGTTATAGACTGGCCGTGAGTAGTCGCATGGAGCAGAGCCTCCCTGTGATGCATGGTGTGGCTTTGCGGCCCGGCCCTCTCAGCTGCCTCTGATGGATGTCCCGCTCTGAGCCATGCTGGGGGCTATTGGTGACCACTGAGGAATCTCTGACCTTGGTCATGATAAACCTGTGACCCTTGCTGGATTCATCTTGGATGGATTATAAACCAGGACTGGCCTGGAGAGTGTCCCTCACCAGCAAGCAGTGTGTAGATGTGAGATTCTTAGATGACAGGAAAGTAGACAGAGTGCTCTTTGTCCAGATCTTTTCTGGCAAGAGGGCCCCTTGGGCTTGCTTTGATATCCCCAGCTTGGGACATTCAGTAGTATTGTTTAGGGAAAACAAAGACTGCTAATGGGGATAGCAGTGAGGTGGAGGTGAACTCCCTATGCAGCAGCCTGGAGAGATGAGAGACTGCAGGTAAAATGATGTCCCTGATCCATGGCACAGGCCTTTAACTGCTGTGTGTGTGAGTTTGGATCTGTACTCAGGGCCTCTAACGTGTTCCTGTGTGTCCTGCCTGGCTGAGGACTAACCCACCTCCACTTGGAGGTTCCAGGTATCCTTGGTCCTGTCTGCAGTGAGCAGAGCTGTGTTCCCATTCTCTGGGCCAGAGCTGGGTCCCCAGAGCATCTCCACCAACATTCTTCCTTGCTGGGAGTGGCAGGCAGCACTCTAACAGGGCCCAGGGCAGAGAGACTGAGCTGTTGGCCTGAGGATGCACAGCCCAGAAACTGGAACCTCTGCCTGCCCTCCCAGGCAAAGTGGGTCTAGGGTGAGGAGCTGACTTGGCCTGACCCTGCCCCTCCATCTTTCTATCCAGTCAGCTGTCCCGGCCCCTAACTTTGCCATGCCTGTCACGGTGCCCGTGTCCAATCAGAGCTCACTTCAGTTCAGCAATCCCAGTGGCTCCCTGGTCACCCCTTCCCTGGTGACGTCATCCCTCACGGATCCTCGGCTCCTGTCCCCCCAGCAGCCAGCGTTGCAGAGGAACAGTGTGTCTCCCGGCCTGCCCCAGCGGCCAGCCAGTGCAGGTGAGTCGACTGGTAGATGAGTAGGTGAAGTAGAGATGAGACAAGATGGGGACTTGGGGATTCTATTCTCAGTAATTACTATTTCCCTTTCCCCACCATAGCATTCTCCCATTTGTGTGGCTCTGGAGGGATGTGACTATGACTCCTTCTCCTAGAGTCCTTTTGAGTCCCTTCCCCCTGTTGAGTCTTCAGTTTGGAAGCGGGGAATCCTGTCAGTTCATCATGGTTCTGTTTTATCTCCAGGGGCCATGCTGGGGGGAGACCTCAGCAGTGCTAACGGTGCCTGCCCCAGCCCTGTTGGTGAGTACTACTGCTCTTCTACCTGGCGATGGGGTAGGGCCTGCCTGCTCAGTGGCCCCTGGGGTCCAAGAGTCCTGATGGACCTAGATAGGAGGAGAGTGAAATCCCAGGGCTTAAGTTAGATAGAGTGTCAGGATTTTCAAGCTGGTAGCAGTGACTGGTATGGATGATCAGAAAAGATGTAGGCTCAGGGGATTCTGGGCAAAAACTGTAGGAATGGACTAACATTTCTAGCTGGAAGGCAAGATCCAGGTTATTTCCAGTTGAGTGGGGAATATTTGGTTGAGATCTAGAGGATGAAAGTCTGGTTTTGGCCAGATGGACAGTAGGCCCAGACAGACAGAAATACACATGTTGTACATACATGCATGTGTATGTTCTCACTGTCATGGAAATATCCAGGCATTACCTGTGCATTTGTGATCATATGTCCATAAGCTACAGAGGAGACACTGCTCCCCCCACCCCAGCAGCTGACAGCCCCTCCTGCCCTGTGCCGTTGTCCAGCTGGGTGACTGTGACTTCGAATGTCACCATTGACGTCACTCTGACATTCCTGCCATTCCCAGAGTGATCCCGGAATTGGGATGGAGGTGGCCACACACTTCAGGGCACAGCTTACTTTTAGGGGATAGGGCAAGGTGGAATTTCTGACTGCAGTCACCCCCATATGTCTAGCCTTCAGAATCCCCCAGCTCAGCCTCAAGTACCTTATAGCACCTCCCTGGCAGTAATTGTGTACTGGGGTCAGAAAACTAGGGAAATGGGTGAGTATCCCTCTGTCCAAGGAGAGGGCCAGAGAAATGCCCACCTTGAGCCCAGCAAGTGGGATGTGAGTAAGAGCCCTGGTTTGGCTTCTAGCCAGCTGTGTGACCCTGGACAAGTCACTACACTTCTGCCAACCAGGCCTTAAGTTTCCTCTGTAAACAAGGCTAATAATACATGCATTGTCCAGCTAGTGAGGTTATTGTGAGGATTAAATGAGATAATGTGTGTGTGAAAGCCCTTTATAGACTGTGGAGTGTGAAACAAATGTAAAAGATAGTTATTATGGTTGTTATTACCAGTCTAATTATGGCTGTGTTATCAGTGCCCCAGTGCCAGTAACACTACCACCACCAGTGAATGGCTCGTGACCCTGGAGCTGTGAACCACTTGTCATGTGCTGATCCAAATCACAGCCTCCCCAGCTCTTGGGGAGGGAGTGGTCCAAGTGGTTGATGATTGGTCCTGGTGACCAGGAGCCTCACTGAGTCCCAGCCAGATTCTAAGCTGCCACCCCTTCTCCATCCTGGGTATCTGTGGGTTGGCTCAGTCGAGGGCATATTGTGGGATCTGAAAGTGCTGGCCTTACTACTCGTGCAGACCGAAGGAGAGAAAAAGTAGGGAGAGGACTAGTCACAGAAGTTCTTGACTTTTATGGGGGACGGGAGGTAATGATTGCCCCCACCTAGCCCCATCTTACATAGCATAGAGGTAGGGAGCTGAACTCAGTGATTCAGGAGTAAGGGGTATTCTTCTCTTATTCCCAAAGCAGGATAATTCAAGGGGGCAGTCAGATAGCTGAGCACCCAGTCAAACCCTAAGCATTCTTTGAGAGGGTCTGGATGGCAGGGGTGAGGGCATGGGGTCAATTAACAGGGCTGAGGGCTGAGGTCTAGGCCCGTGCTTTTCCTTTTATCTTCATCTTTTCACTTTTCCAGGGAATGGCTATGTCAGTGCACGGGCTTCCCCCGGCCTCCTCCCTGTGGCCAATGGCAACAGCCTCAACAAAGTCATCCCTGCCAAGTCTCCGCCCCCACCTACCCACAGCACCCAGCTTGGAGCCCCCAGCCGCAAGCCCGACCTTCGGGTCATCACTTCCCAGGGAGGAAAGGGGTTAATGCATCACTTGGTGAGTAGATGTCTGGGCTGAAGAATGTAGGACTGGAGAGAGAGGAAAGAACAGACCTCTAGCAGGAGAGGTGAAGGTTAACCAATGGTTAGGATTTCCAAGTGTGGCTTTTCATGAGTACCTTATTCCCAGGGGACCTAACAAGAGGTTGGGAAACAGAAGTACCAGTCTCAAGGACAGTAAAAAGGAACAGGAAGTGGGAGAGAAGGTTCTATGATGAGGAGGGTGATGGGAGAGCTTTGCTATCACTGCAGGAGGGTTGGAAATGAGATTGTGAAGATTTCCTTACTGGTGGAGGTTGGAGACAGCATCCTCTAGAAATCATCCAGGACTGAAGACCTCTGTCCTTCTTGGGGCAGGTTGTTTCCTTAGTTTCCCTCTGTCTCCTTATGCCTTTTCCTGGGGAGAACCATCCTGTTCCTCTGCAAAGAGGTGGATGGAATGGCTGTAGGGGCAGGGGTGGGGGCAGGGAGAGAGGCCAGAGACTCAACTATCCCCTTGGTTTTATTTCTGCTCCCAGACTGAGGACCATTTAGATTTGGTAAGTGTCTGTGAGATGTTTGCTGTGGCTTTGAATTCTGGGTCAACCCATTGCTGTGCAGTCACCTAGCATGGAATATGTGTGTGCCCCTGTCCTTTTTCCTGTGTGTGTAGTGTGTGGGTTTGTTTATTTGGTTACTTACCAGGAGCTGTGCCTAGTAGCCAGGTGGGATACAGAGGTGAATAGGGTGGAGATGCAGGGGTTAGACATGCATGTATGTGCACCTGTGTTTACATGGTATCTTTGTATGGTGCTGCATTCATGCAGATAACACCTTCTCTGTGTCTTTGTTGAATGTACAAGGAGAGTGGGCCAGCCCCAGGCCTCAGAGGTCCCACCCTGATTTGTCCCAGGATGCCTAGCTTAGGCCCTTGGACCATGGGACTGGATCTCATCTCCCCTCTTAACACCACTGAAGCCCCTAGAATTTTCTTGGAACCCAAAACAGGGACCTCCTTAGGAGGGATGCCAGCTGGACAACAAAATTGATTTTCCAGGGGGAGCTGAGGCCAAGCCAAGGCCAGAGTCACCCTTTTCAGTGGGGAACTTCCCTACCCTCCCTCTGTCTCCTGTTCACAGCCCACCTCACAGGCACTTGGAGCCACACATGGCTGTTCTTTTTTTCTGTCTCACAAGCTTACTGTCCTCTCACATACCCTCAGCCAGGAGTGGGGTGGGGGGCTTCTCTCTCCCCAACTCCCTGATGGGAGGCCAGAGAGGCTGGAAAAGGCAGGCAGGCTTTGGCGGCCAACACGGCAGCAGTTTCGGCCCCAGAGTGGAGCTGGAATAAATAAGTGACTCAGCGGCAGATGGAGCTGACAGCCCCACACACGTGTATGCATACACGCAGGCACACGTCACGCCAGGCCCCACATTCCCCTCACAGATGCCAGCATGTTTCTACCAGGGTGTGTGCTACAGTGTGATGGATGAGGAGTAGACTCCAGAGGGACTAGGCAGGAGAAGAGTGGTGTCTATCTCTTCTCTCACTCTGCCCGAGGAGACTGGACCTGGTGTTGGGGCCACAGGGCCAGCATACGTGTCTTCCAGTTTCCATAGGTGTAGAAGTGAATGAATCTATGTGCATGTTTCTCTCCATAGATTTCAGTGTCTCTGTGAATGCACCAGTGTGTGTTTGTGTATCTTTGGGGGCTTCCATGTTAAGGGACTCCACCTTGGCCTTGGGATCCAAGGACCCCAGCCCAATGTTGGGATGGAGGGCCAGGATAAGGCAGCCCACTCATCTGCCATCCCCTGACAGACACTTCTCTTCTTCTGCAGAATAATGCCCAGCGCCTTGGGGTCTCCCAGTCTACCCACTCACTCACCACCCCAGTGGTTTCCGTGGCAACACCAAGTTTACTCAGCCAGGGCCTCCCCTTCTCTTCCATGCCCACCGCCTACAACACAGGTGAGTGTTCATGTGGCTGATGTATGAGTATACTTGGGCTTGGGCATTGGAGGGACCAGAGAAGGAACATTAGATAGCCCCTGGGGGAAGCCCTGATTGGTAAAGACTATTAATTTTGGTGATTTCCTACCTAATTAGGGTTGCTGGACTTCACAAATAAAAATATAAGGTGCCTGATTAATTTGAATTTCAAGTGAAAAAATAATTTCTTAGGATAAGTATGTCCCAAATATATTCTTATGCTAAAGTATGTCCCAAAGGCAAACACACATACACTAAATAATTATTTGTTGTTTTATCTGACATTCAAACTAAACTGGGCATTTTCTATTTCTAATATAGGACCTAGTGGAGGAGGGAGCCCCAGACCCTGTCCTCAGAGAGCCTCCAGTCTGAGGAGGAAGTAGGACAGAGGTGGGCTGAGCAGATGATTCAGGCAAACTAAGCTCTAGACTCTAGGATCAAGGAATGCGGAGGGGGACATGATCAGTTTAGCAAGGCTTTCTGGAGGAGAATGAAGGAATGAGGGAGAGAAGAGGCAGGTAAGGTGAGGAGGCCAGAGGAGGAAGCATAGTTAGGGTAGATTTTTCCAGATTCTTAGAATAGCCTTGCAGGGACTCTAAGGCCAGGTAGGGAAGGAGGAAGGGTGTCTCTCATCCTGATGATGCTGTGGTGGTGGAATGATGAGGAAGAAGGAAGGAAGAAGTCTGGTGAAGGGGGATCTGAAGGTGAAGAGTTAGTTGAGGACACAGGAAAAGTCTGGGTAGAATTCAGACAGGACACCCAGTCCCAGGCTATCATGGGCCCCCAGGGCTGTCCTGGTCTGTGTCACCCACTCACACCTGCCCAGGAACAGTCTGTGACATTCTCAGCCATCGTTGCCTGCACTTCAAGCTGCTATGTGAGGAAGGACTTCCCAATGGAAAAGGCCTTGTCACCTTGTTCCAAAACATTTATGTGGCTGTGAACCTGGGCTGTTTCCAGCCAAAGAGACCTCTGCCTTCGTATGAATGCTTTGGGTTAGGGATATTCCTGTGATGAGATCAGACTGGACCAAAAGGCCCCAAAACTCCCCCCCAGGTCATCACCCCAGAGTTGAACCATGCTAGGTTGCAGACACTTAATACAAATGCCCACAAAATCCCACCTCCTTATGTGTGTAAAGCCAGACCCAGCCCCATGCTTAGGAAAACCTCTCATGGCAGGTAAGAGAACTGGAGGAACTGCCTCATGGTAAGGGGCCTGACTCTAGCATATGGGTCTGTGTCCAGGTCCTCTTCCTCAGGTGTCTTTAAGTCCCTTGTTCCTTGCATGTGCACCCACTTGTGTACTCAACAGGTTACCACATCCTCAGGCAGTTTCTGAGAGAGCTGCTTCAGATGGCTGTGCCCTGGACACTGTCTCCTCATCTGTGCAAGATGTGGGTGGACAAGAGGGCTCTGAGCTCTTCCAGCCCTGCCATCTGGGATTCTGTGGCCCGCCTAGAACAGCTGGCTTCCTGAGAATAAATAGGTGGGGTGAGAGTGGTGGCGGAGGGCTGCACAGATCACCTTTTGGGAGCTGTCATCATTTGGGAATCCCACAGTGGTGGGTTTTTTGCAAAGTCTGAGCTACTGTCTTCTTGGGTCCCATTGCCAGTCTTTTTGAAGCCATAGAAAGATTGGTTGGTGTCAGAAAGCCCAGAACAGGCCCTCAGCAAAGCCACACTTTAGACTCCTGTCAGTCTGATGTGAAAGCAGGTTTTGATCTTGGGCCTGTCGTTGGTGCCCTGCTGGAAAGTGTGTGGGATTTCTCACATCCTCTTAGAAACCAGGGGCTCCAGTTCCTTTTGCCACAAGAGTACTTAGACCTCAATTTAAATAGCAGGTGTTTTCAGGTGACCCTAGGTGTATAAACAATACCCCAATGATCACATTGCTGTTCAGTTGTTCACTGTTTATAGTCCTTGGCCCCAGTTCAAGTTCCAGCTAGGGGTGATTTGGCTTATGGTAATGTCTTGGGTAAGGAATGGACCTGGCCTCTTGTTGACACTGGCTGAGAGGTCTGGCTGTGGTCACCTGGGAACAGACCAAGTAGGTTGCCAGGTGGCCTCTGGGCTACATTCCTCCTGGCCTAGGGGAGCCAAGCCTACTGATAGATAGGGCTGGAGTGTGGTGGCAACAGCACGGAACTGGGAGTTGTGTCTCTACCATTCACTCCCTGAAGGGCCTTGGGCAAGGCACTGCACTGTCCTTGTTTGTAAAGTAAGAATTAGAAATATTTGATCCTAGGTGTACCTTTCTGTCCTTAGTCTGCTTTTTAAAAATATGTGTATCAGAATCCTGGCTAATGTTACAAGACCAGAGACAAGTATAGACCATCTCTGAGGTGAGATTTAAAGGTGGTAAGGAGACCTACAGTCTCATCTTGGCTGTGCTTCTGGCTTTGTCTGTGACCAAGGCAAGTTGTCCCATTTGTAAAAGAATGGTAATAATAAGCTAATCTTTTGAATAGTTAGTGTATGCCAGATTCTGTTCTGCATGCTTTATGTGTGTTAGCGCATTCGATCCTCACAACAGCTGATTGATAAAGGTAGGATTATTGCTTTCAGTTTATAGGCAAAGGATAAGCAACTTGCCCAAGTTCACATGACCTATAGGTGGAGATAGCCAGGAAGTTTGACCTCATAGCTCATGCCTTTAACTCATTGCTGTATTGCAGAGAGAATACTGCCTTCCCTGTATAAAAACACAAGACCAGAGTAAATGACCCCCGCGTAGTAACATGGGTGTGTAGTGTTGGGAGATGTATGCTCCTCTCATCACACATGCCCTCCCACCATCACAATGCAATCTCCCTGTGTTCCTCAAGGACAAAATTGAACTGTCCCAAATAGGAAGCAACATGAAACATACCAAAAAGCAAACTCACTGCCATTGAGTCAATTCTGACTCATAGCGACCCCCTTTGGATTGCCAAGGCTGTAAATCTTTACAGAAGTAGATTGCCTCATCTTTTTTCTGCGAAGCTCCTGGTGGGTTTGAACCAGAGACCTTTTCGTTAGTAGCCAGATGCCTTAACACTACACCACCAGGGCTCCTTTGAAATATAATTAAAAAAAAAAAAAAAAAAAAACCAAACTCACTGCCATCAAGTCGATTCCGACTCATAGTGACCACCTTTGGGTTTCTGAGGCATTAAATCTTTATATGGAAGTAGATCGCCCAGTCTTCCTTCCACAGAGTGGCTGGTGGGTTTGAACTGCCAACCTTCTGGTTAGTCGTCAAATGCCTTAGGCACCGTGCCACCAGAGCTCCTTCTGAAATATAATCCCAAAACTAAACTCACTGCCATCGAGTCAGACCTGACTCATAGCGACCCCCTCCCTCTTTGGGTTTCCCGGGCATATCACTATGGAAGTAGATTGCCCAACCTTCCTTCCGAGGAGTGGCTGGTGAGTTTGAACCACCAGCTTCTGGTTAGCAGTCAAATGCCTTAGGTACTACGCCACCAGAGCACCTTTTGGAATATATAATAGTGCTGTGTAAATTGTGAGACATTTCATGGTTCTGTTTATTCTGTAACAGTATAAACATCACAGTTTCTTCATTAAGATAGAAATTTTTAAAAATAACGAGTGCCTTCTCATGGGGAAATCTGCCAGAATCTTGGTCAGTTGTGCCCCAGGAGTATTTGCCTTACAGCTTCTCCGCTTTTGAAGGCACTTCTTCTTCCAGGGCAGGAGCTGTGGGGCAAATACATGTCCTTTGTTGTGTTTGTGTGTGGACACAGGAGTGCAAACCCGTGCTGCTTACTTATGTATTAAAAATCTGTGGGAGACTTGGGGACTTCGCAGAAGGTGAAGTAGTAGTTAAAATAATTGGTTTCTGATGTCCTGATTTACCTAGCATTTACTGTGACTCTTCTCTACCTCAGAGAGGCACTTGAAGACTTGTTTGAAGGGATAACAGTTAGACATACATTGTTATTATTGTTGGGTGCTGTCAAGTTAATTTCAACTCATAGCCACCCCATCTGACAAAGTAGGACTGGATTTTCTAGGCTGTAATCTTTACCGGAGCAGATCACCAGCTCTTTTCTCCCGCAGAGCACTGGTGGGTTCTAGCCGTCAGCCTTTCGGTTAGCAACCAAGCCTTTAATCACTGAGCAGCCAGTGCTCCTTAGACATATTAGATCTTTCCTATTAACTTTTTGTTTTTCTCTTCCTGTTTGTTTTTAATTATCATTATAAAAATGATACCTGCACATGGTTTTAAAAAAAAGTTATATACTGTGATCCTAGTTCTGTATCCCCAAGATAAAAATCAGTAGCTTGTGTGAGCTTCCATCGGTATTTTCTCTGCTTACACAAACATTCCTGGGTCTATACTGTTTTTTCTCCCCCATATAAATGGACTGCCTCTCATTTTTCTATTTACTTTTGGTAGTCATCCTGGAAATTTCTTCAGAGTAGCAGGTGTAAAAGAACATACCTTGTTCACTTTTGTCACTACATAGTATGCTATCATATGTTGCTGTTAGATGCCATCAAGTTGGCTCCAGCTCATGGTGACCCTGCGAGTCCTGCGCCATCCTAACAGTTGTTGCTATGTTTCAGCTCAGTGTTCTAGCCACTGTGTCAGTCCATCTCGTTGAGGGTCGTCCTTTTTGCTGACCCTCTGCTTTACCAAGCATGATGTTCTTTTCCAGGGACTGGCCCCTCCTGACAACATTTCCAAATTACATATGACACAGTCTCCATCCTCATTTCTAAGCAACACCAACATTATAATTCAGATGTATCAATTCTTCTCCAGTCTTCTTTATTCATTGTTCAGCTTTTATGTGCAGATGAAGAGGCGACTGAAAATACCATGTCTTGGGTCAGGAGCACCTTAGTCCCCATAGTGACATCTTTGGTTTTTAACACTTTAAATAAGTCTTTTACAGCAGATTTCTGGACTCCTGCTTTCATGAGCATTGCTCGTGGATCCAAGTAGAATAAAATCCTTGACAACTTCAGTATTTTCTCCATTTATTGTGGTGCTGCTTATTGGTCCAGTTTTGAGGATTTTCGTTTTCTTTATGTTGAGGTATAATACATACTGGAGGCTGTAGTCTTTGATCTTCACCAGTAAATGCTTCACGTCCTCTTTCAGCAAGCAAGGTTTTGTCATCTGCATATCACAGATTATTAATGAATCTTCCTCCAATCCTGATGCCGCATTCTTCTTCTTATAGTCCAGCCTCTTGGATTATTTGTTCAGCATACAGATGAATAAGTATGGTGAAAATATACAACCCTGATGCATACCTTTCCTTATTTTAAACTATGCAGTATCCCCTTGTTCTGTTCAAATGACTGCCTCTTGGCCTATGTAGCACAATTAAGTGTTCTGGAATTCCCATTCTTCTCACTGTTACCCATACTTTGTTATGATCCACACAGTCAAATGCCTTACACAGTCAATAAAGCAGAGATAAATATCTTTCTGGTTTTCTCTGCTTTTAGCCAAGATCCATCTGACATCAGCAAGTGCTAATGTTGTTATATGGATGGCCATACCATAATATATTTAATTAAGACTCCATTGATAAGAACATGCTAATGTGTTCTGGTTTTTGGTTTCATGGTTTGGTTTGTTTTTTGCAAATAATGCTGAAGTGAATTTCCATGTGTGTGTATGTGTGTGTGTATATATATCTTTTTCTAGTTTTTTGAGACTTTTGTATAAATTCCCAATGATAGAACTGCTAGGTCAGAGGATATATGCATGTTATATTTTGATAGATATTGCAAAATTGCTTTTCAAAAAATGTAAACTCCCACCTACAGGGATGAGAGTGCTTGCTTTGCTACACCCTCACCCACACTGAGTTTGATCATATTTTCTACTTTTTGCCAATCTGATGGTTAAAAAATAGTACTCATGCTTATTATGATCTTCATTTCTTTCACTGTGAGTGCCACCTTCACTGACTTTTGATGGGTTTTATTTAATTACTCACGTCCATCATTAAATACTCCCCTCCCCTCAGGTCCTCTCCCTCCCACTCCAGGCTTCTCCTTCCTTATTTCCCCGTGCAGATTACCAGTTGACCAGTGCAGAGCTCTCCTCCTTACCAGCCTTCAGTTCACCTGGGGGGCTGTCACTAGGCAATGTCACTGCCTGGCAACAGCCACAACAGCCCCAGCAGCCACAACAGCCACAGCCTCCACAGCAACAGCCGCAATCACAGCAGCCACAGCCACAGCAGCCTCAGCAGCCGCAACAGCCACCTCAGCAACAACCTCACCTGGTCCCTGTGTCTCTCAGCAACCTAATGTGAGTTTTAGGGAGGTTTTCCATGTGCATGCATGTTTGGGGAGGGAGAGTTGAGGAGCAGGTGGGAGAAGAAGGGTCCTCCTGAGAGCTGGGTTCCCTGCAAGGATGTCTGTCACCAGTGGACATCCTGTGAGGCAGCCCGTGGTCACCTGTATAGGCCTAGGAGACCCATCCTGATTCCCTTCCCCCAGCTAACCCCAGGGTGGGGGTAGGGTGACCCTGGACTGCAAAAGACGACAGAGGTGGGATAGACAGAAAACTAATCTTATGTATTCTCCTTCTCTTCCCTTCACTGACCTTTCTCTTCTGGTCTCTCTGTCTTCATTTGTTTCTCTCTCTTCCTTCCTCCTACACCCTGTCCTCCCACATCTGTCTGTCTTCTCTCTTTCACTCTTTGTCCTGTGACCTCCTATCATGTTTTCTGTCCCTCACCCATTCTTGTTTCTATCTCCATCTCCATTGCCTACCTCCAGCCCGGGCAGCCCACTGCCCCATGTGGGTGCTGCCCTCACAGTCACCACCCACCCACACATCAGCATCAAGTCGGAACCTGTGTCCCCAAGTCGTGAGCGCAGCCCTGCGCCGCCCCCTCCAGCTGTGTTCCCGGCCGCCCGCCCTGAGCCTGGTGATGGTCTCAGCAGCCCGGCTGGGGCCTCCTATGAGACAGGGGACCGGGATGACGGACGGGGAGACTTCGGGCCCACACTGGGCCTGCTGCGCCCAGCCCCAGAGCCTGAGGCTGAAGGCTCAGCTGTGAAGAGGATGCGGCTCGATACCTGGGTACTGTAGCATCACCCCTCCTGTCTATCAGTGTCTGCTACACCCAGGGACCACCTCACGTGTCCCAACCTGTCATACCACCTACCTGAGAGGCCTTGTGCCCAACTAGCCCTTCTACCAGCCCTTTTGTGGCAGCACCAGTACCCTTTTCCCCCATAAAAGCCAATCTCCTAACCACCATCTCCAACATCAGTCCTTGTGCTCAGTGGTTTCCCTTCAGAGGTGGCCTGGCTACTGAGTTCTGGTCCTACTGGGGAGAAGGGAGTGGGGGGTGTACACCCCATAGCCTGGGCCACCCTCTCTCACCCCCTTCTCCATCTCCTCTCTTCACAGACATTAAAGTGACGATTCCCACTCCCCTCCTCTCAGCCTCCCTGATGAAGAGTTGACAATCTCACCGCCCACCCCTCCCTGTCCTGGGCTCTTCCCGCTCGACCCCACTTCCTTACTTGTGCTCCATGTCCTGTTGACGGTTACATTTGTGTATAATTATTATTATTATTATATTATTATTATTATATTTTTTTTGAATTTGGACTCTCGCTTTGGAGAGGGGGATGCTTCCATCCCCTCTTTTTACACCCCCCACCATTTTCACTGGCTGGGGGGGTCTCTTTTTTGCGGGAAGGGGGGGACACTTTGCACGTTGTTCACATATGCTGCAGGAGGGGGTGGGGAGCCCGACAGGCCTTGGGAAAGGACAGGTGCTGAGCCCTGCACGAAGAGCCCTCCCACCCCATCCCCCAGATAGAGGGAAATAACCAAAAAAACCTACCAAACAACAAAAAAACATACAATAGACTGAAACCCCAAAGTTGACTTGATGAGTGGGTTTGTGTTTCAGGGGGAAAGTAAGCAGAGGTTCTGAAATCAGAGGCTCTGCTTCTGGGCTGTTCATGTGGCCACAAGCACGTGCCACAGAATGCCCCAAGTGCCCCTGCACACACACAGGACACCCACTGATTTCTCCTGTCAGCTGTGCCCCCTAGGTGTGTGGGTACTGGCTGAGAGGACTGCCCGGGAATCAGAGGCTAGGGGGAGGGGCTGGGGGTGGAGACCCCTCTCGAAGCACATTTGGAGAGAAAGACAGAGAGCCATGAGGAGAGGGCTGAGGAGGGGCAGTAGGGCTGGGGCAAAGGGTGAACCAGACCCCTGCCCTTCCCTGGCCTTTCCTCTAAAATATACAGTGCAATAGCTCCCCGTCCCTCAGTTGCCACCAGCCCTGTAAGCTGGCCACAATGTGCAGGGAGAAGTGGGGAGAGGAACTCCAATGAGGTGGCTCAGTGAGAGTCAGCCTTGGGCTTCCCTAGGGGCCTGAGGAGCAGAAGGGAGGCAGGTGCACCCCAATAACTTTTTCATTCAGGGGCAGGTGTCAGTAAGGGAACTCCTTGCACGTACACATACCCAGAGGAGTGGACACTGGGATGGTCTATGGGGGCCAGAGTAGAGGGACAGATGAGGTCTGTGGAAGGCCTGCCTCCCTGATGCCTCCTTGGTCCCTCTTTCCAGCCCCTCCTCCCAGCTCCTCCACTCCTGACCCCACCTCCCTGCTCTTGGCACCCTCATTGTCTCGCTACCTCCTGTCCCACTACCCCCAGGCCGCATCCCACCTTCCTTCTTGGCTACTGTAATTGTAAATAGCAACCTTTGGAAAAAACGTTAGCGGTGTAACAGTCTAGGAAACTGTGTTTTTTTTTTTTGTTTGTTGTTGTTGTTGTATTGATATGAAATGAGATTCTATTTTTGTCAAAGTATATTGTAATAATAATGACTCAAACGGCCCGTACTGTACAGACGAGATTCTTCTGCTGTTGTTCTTGCTCCCCCCAACCTGAGTCTGCCTCTCTCTTCTGCCTCTTCAGTGGGGGCAGTGGTCATGGGACCCAGGGGCAGCCAAAGCATGGGGTCCCGAGACCTTGGGCTGCATCAGAGATCGAACTGGAGGGGGCAGGTCCCCAGCCCCCTGTCCACCACTACCCACCCACTCCTGCTCTGAGGGACCTGGGCTGAGGTGACATGGGCAGGCAGGCAGAGGTCTGTCCCAGTCCTTCACACAAGCCCATTCCTCTGCCCAAGGGGTGCAGCCCTCCCTTGGAGTTTCATCTTGGTTGGAGAGTAGACTTAGACAAGGCCCGGTTTTGTGGTAAATGACTGTCTTTGCCCACCACTATGACCCAGCCGCTTGCAGTATTCTGACACTTGATGCAGGGAAGGACCCAGAAGTAGAGGGGTGTTTGGTCACACAGATAACTGAGTGTGTTCATGAAGACATCTTCTATTTATGTGCCCGAGTGTACCTTTGTATTTATGTGTGTATATGTGGCTGCATGAATGTACCTTTGTGTGTGTGTGAGCCTGTCTGGGTATGTGTGAATTTCTATGTGATTTGAGCCCTGAGAGCATCTCTGTAACTGTGTGCTGGATGTGACTGTGTGTGCTGGATGTTTACAGAGGGACAGGTGGCTGTTCCCAGCCACACAGCCCTGGCTTCCAATTCTGTGATCCTCCTTCCTAAACCCCACTCCCTTTTCCCCTGCTCCTTTATCTGTTCTCACCCTCCACTGAGATGTGTTAATGCTGCAGTTGGGGGGATCTGGTAGTTGGCCCTTTCTGCTTCTTCCTACCTTCACCCTACCTCTCCCAGGGCTTCCCTTGGGAACCTTTGCCTTCACTCACAATTGTTCACTTTTAGTCCCACACACCTTTACACACAGTCCCCTTTCCTGGAGTGCCCTCTCTCCCCTGACAAGACCGCTTTTTTTGTGTGTGGTAATAACTGCCTTTGCCCACCTCTATGACCCAGACTCTTAAGTATTCTGACACTTGACACAGAAGTTCCTCCCTGAAGCTTTTTCTTTCAGCAAGCAGTGATCCTTCCTTACTTGCAGCTTAATCCCCACACTGATTGGGCACCCAGCATGTCCAGTCTTCCCTCATCTCCTGCAGGTTTCTGGAGGAGTTTCAAGAATTGATGAGATTTGATCGGGGCCTTGAAAGAAGCCAGGGTGTGGTCTTGTGCATGTATGCATCCTCAGAGCCTTGCCCAGTGCCTGGCACAATAGGCACTCAATAAATGCTGGCTGGGTAAATGAATGATTGAGTGATACGTGCTCAATAAACATTGAATGACTGGCCTTCCCTTCTCAGGCTGTTCCTACCACCAGTCAGCACAGCTTTCTAGGCCTGAGCTTAGCCACCTTTAAACACGAGGTGGGGGTAAGGGCCCCTGCAGTTCATGGTGCAATATTCACCAGTTTTGCCCTCTGCCTGGTAATGGCAAACCTGGCTTTTGATTACCATGTGTGGATGTGTGCGTGTCCTTCTCTGTCCCTGGGGGCGGCAGGGGCTGATTTGTGAATGAATGTGTGACATTTCTGCAATTCAGTATCTCAAGGCTTCTCTTGGGGGTAGGGGCTCCTGGCCAGCCAGATGAATGAGTCCTTGGGAACCCAGACTTCAAGTGGGGACTTAATTTCTTCTTCCTCTCACAAGCCAAATTTGCCTCCACCCACTCCCTCCTCTGAAGAACTGGGCATTTGCCAAAGTAATCACTGGAGTCATCCAATGCCCCCCACCCCCAGTTTCCCACAGCATTCAGGGACAGTGGGCAAGAGGACCCCCCTCCACAAAGGGACACACCATTTCCCCTGATCCCAACAGTGCACTCAGTGCAGCGAGACTGACCCCTGATCCCCCCCATCCCTACCCTCCCCACCTTGGACAGGAAGGAAGTAATGCACCTTCTCTTGCTGATTATTTATTTGTTTGGAGAGACAGAAATGATGTAAAAGTGTATCTAGAAATATCTATATCTCTATATATTTTTAACTGACTCTTTGGAATCCCCTGGGGTGGGGTGGGGTGTGAGTTTAGGCTTTCATGGAGAGGAGAAATCATGGAGCCTGGGAACTCCGCATTCTCCCCTCTGCCGCCTTTTCCCACCCCCCAAGCAGTTGGTGGAAGGAATGGGATTTGTATGGGGGATGGGGGGGGCTGGAATGTTATATGGAGAATCTGGATTCTCTCAGTCTTCCCCATTCAAGTCCCAGAGGGAGGGAGGGAGGGGCGGGGAGGGAAGGGCAAGGAAGGAGGGAGGGGCAGGGACAGGGATGGGCCATGAAGGTGCCCACTCCCAAACCTGACAATCACCCACACTCCTGGGGCTCCTCCTGGGTCCTGGGGCAGGGCGAGTCCAAGTGTGTGGCTGTTGATTTGTTTTCAATATTTCTTTTCGTGCTGTATGGTGATGCTTTCTTAGTATTCTACACAATAAGAAAAGACAAAGTCCTCGAGATTCTTATGAGTTTTGTTTGAAAACTCTTTCACTATATTTGTTGTAAAGAGGTTTACTATTAAAAAGAAAAAAAATACACGTTTCTGATACTTCGGTTTGGGCTCTGGTTTCTTTGGTGCGGTCGGCTGAAGCAGGGGGAGGTAAGCTTGTGTGGCTCTGCCAGGGGATGAGATCAGAGCCCCACTTCAGCAGGAACAGAGGCGGTTAGCCTGCTGTAGTGAAGAGGGCACTGGCACATGGTCTGAGGTGGGATTCTCCTAAGTTCACATCTCCAGGGTGAGAATTTCTTACTGGCACATCTGTCAGAAGCAGTGGTAGCCCTGGCATTGAGCAGGGGTTGTGCAGTTAGAAGCTGCCGGAGGGATCTTGGGACATAAGAAAAACAGAAATACCACTGAAGGTCAAGTCAGCGTCAGCACGAGATGCTATTTGGTATGGGGGTGTAGCATGGTAGAGCATCTTCAACTACTGAAAACCTTCATTCAGCAGAAACTTGCCAGGCACCGTGTTAGGCACAAATGGATTGTGCACCTCCATGGCCCCACGGAGTTCACTTCAGCAGGAAATTTGCCCTTCCTCTTCCTTTTGCAGTGCTTTTACTGTGCCAGGGAGCCTCTTCCTGACCTCCTCCCATATCCCAAAGGGCCCTGCATAACCTGGTGCCCTTCGGCAGGGTGGCTGCTCTTACTGCTGCCTCCCCACACCTCTGCAAAGCTGTGCCATGAGGCAGGGGCAGCTGCCATGAGGGAGGCCTGCCAGACTTGGCTTGCTGTTCACAGGCTTGGCCACTCCTCTGTGCCAGGCCCATGTTGGTGCTGCAGTCAAAGATGGAGCAAAGCACCTACATACAGTGGCAGAGACAGGCCTGTAGATGCCTAAAATCAACATCTGGTTCTTGCTTTTATTGCTACATATGCAGGCTGCTGCAAGGGTACATGGGAGTCAGGCAGGTCACAAAATGTCCTTGAGCCTTATATTTTCTCTTTTGCAAAACGAAGAGAACTGTACCAGCCCTTCCTTCCTCACAGGGTCATGCAGACTTTGCCTCAGTTCTCCCTCAGCTGGAGCAAAGAGGAAAGACGAGCTGTGCAGGAAAAGGTTAAGAGGATGACATCCTCCAAATGAGACTCTCCTGCTCACTGCCTGTGGTAGCAGCTTCCAAGTTGGCTGACAGTTATTCCTGCCTGGTATTCATGTTCTGACCAGTCC